ATTTCCCTTTGAATACAGTTACAGCTCGAAGTTTCCTCGTTCAAAGGCGATTCTAAAGATTCAAGGAGACTCCGGTAACTTCGGATCAACATTTTCCTCGCTAACGAAAGGAATGCCGTGAACACGAAAGTTTCGTTCCAATGAAACAATAGAAACTCTCACATGTCGCGATCTCGATCGAGAACACCAATAAAAGGTGAAGAGTCAAATGGTTCCTCGCGAATCTTGAGAATGATCGTTGCAATTTCTCGCCGAAAGTTCTCGCGTGAGAAACAAGTGTTCGAGACGAATGCTTTCTTCGGCTTATTAGATCACCGATCAATTATCGCGCAACCGTAGGACATCTTCCTCGACCGTCCGTCGGGAGAGTCCGGGGTGAAACTTACCGGCGGGCTGATAGAAAAGTAATCTTAGCTTAGAATCAAGGTTGCGGCGTCTTAAATACGAGATTCTGCGTGGGAGTCGCCGGGTCTCTAACGGTTCTTTTCATTAACGGAACAAGAGCACGGGGATTCCGTCGAAACGGTTGCGCGAACTACAGGATCTATGGGCGCGTTTTGTCCTCGCTCGTCGGAAACGAGATTACGGAGTATATAAAAATCGAGATTGCGATCCGAGCTCGCGAACTGAACGCATCGAGCGGGAGATTCGATTTGAACACATCGCAGGGGATCCGTGGCAGCTTGAAATTAGATCGCAAACGAGTATTGGCTGAGGATGCAACGTTATTGGCAGACAGTTCGAAACCGCCGGTAAATTTCGGGCGCTCCGAGAGCCGATGGGACGTTGCTTTCCATTTTAATTCCATTCCTCGGGGAACGCGTTTTCTTCTGCAAATGGGGATCGCCCGGAAGTAACTGGGGAATTATTCTACGTCCCTCTCTTTATACCGTGCGATACGATTCTCTTGATTTCCTCGATTCGAGTCTGTATGCAGACGAAACGATTTCTTCCCGATCTAATAATCGAGCAGAAATCTCTGGAAGATTGTCTCGCTGCTCCCTTCTTATTGTTTAATTCAATTCCACCGACTCGACCGGTCGCGGAACGCAAAAGGGAAGCGGAACTTTGAGCCCAGCTTTTTCGCAAAGCCACGATTCCCTAGAAATCCCTAGAAAATTACGGCGCGTTTCCTTTTTCCCATTCTTCGATAAAGCACCTTTGACCCGGCCGATCGCCGGCGAGGCGGACAACAAAAGCAAAGGGACCTCATTTAATTCAGCGCCCGCGCGATTGTAAACCGGGGATCCCGTAGAAGTCCCCCAGAAAACAACGTCGAGAGTTTTCCAATTAATCTTTCAGCGTTGGCTTTCGAACCGTCTGCCGACATCGAGCAAAGGGACTACGCGCGGCGTGCTCTCGAACGGTGAATCGAACAGAGCGCCGACTTCCTCGGAAGTGAAATCGAAATCAGGTCAGCGCGTCGATATGTTCGATAACGGGGGGTCGCGAGCGCTCACTCTTCCGGTCCACAGTGGCGCAGATCGTACGATTAGGAGGGAGGCAGCGAACAATTCAACGGGAGAGAGGCTGGGACATGGTGAAACACGGTAGAATAGGGTGAAACAAGGTAAAAGAAGGTCAGAGGAGTTAAAATAGGGTAAAAGGAGAAGATAAGAAGAGGTAGAATAAGGTGAAATGAGGTCAAATGAGGAAAAATGAGGTAAAAGAAGGTCGGAGAAGGTAAAATAGAGTAAAAGGGGAAGATAAGAAAAGGTAGAATAAGGTAAAATAAGGTGAAACGAGGTAAAACGAGGCAAAATGAGGCAAAATAGGATAAACGGAGGTAAAAGAAGGTAAACCAAGGTAAAAGAATAGGTAGAAGAACTGACTAATTTTCTAAGTTAAAATTTCTCCATATATAAAAAATGATTAACCCCATCGATTCGATCTTTCCCACGCACGAATGCGTAGAGCACGAAATGCTTTCTCCTAACCCGACAATCTGGACCACTGCGCGAAAGAAAGCGGGAGGGACGACAATTCGCGGCCCCGATTTCGACTTCGCGGGATTCCGCTGTCCGATCCCGTTGGAATTCTGGGAAAGAATGACGGGAGACTCGCGTTCCCGCCGTGGAATTTCGACGTTCCACCCGGGGATTTAAATACTTTACGCTACTCTTATCGGTAGTTAATATCGAAGAATGACTCGAAACACCCTTATTAATTAACATCTGTAGGGCTGTGCGCGGATTGGTGCTGGCAAGTCGGATAAATTCCACGAACATCTCTCACTGCCCTCACAGCACTCAACGATCCACTAATTTCAACCCTTTGTGCTCTGAATCGTAGCGTCAATGCCTTTTTAATATATAAAGTAACGGCATACGTTGAATAACAAAAATCTTTTTGAAAATTTTACGATGCGAAGGTGTATAATAGTTGAATTGAATTGTACTAAAAATCTGAGAGTATTCGATTCGTTAGATCAACTTAATCGGACTGGTGCTATAAAGTGTCTTCACGACATAAAGGGCTGCAGTGACAACGAATTATTAATTAACGCAAGCTTTAACAATAATCCAGGTTTTTAACCTCTCATAGAACATTACCTCGATAGTGAGAACAAGAATATAGAGTGAATTAAAATGAAGACAATACAACAAACGTAATTATCAACATATATAAATTTGAATTCGATCTAGACAATTTCGGGACTACTCCTATCACATCCACCTGAACTTATTCCCTCTTCGAAAATCAATAACCCTCGACTCCTTGCCTTATGATCTCGTTTCAATCACTCAGCTATACAATAATCATTAACAAGCACCTAAATCAATTGCACACGCCCGCATCTTCATCGGCACACACTTAACGCTCGCAAATAGCATTCCAACCGACGCAAACGGGTTCACGTCGACCAATCAAAACTCAAACGAACTGCCAAACGTCCAATACTCACATTTACCTTGAACAAACTCCAAACGCTCGCCAGCAATCACAAGGCAAGGCGGCTGCGCTCAACGGCAGCTCCAGGAGCAACTCGAAGAAACCGCACAGCGCGGCCGTCTGTGGACAAAACCCCGAAATTCGACCGCTCCCGTAAAAATTAAACATTACCAATATACTACTAAGTAATCCTCGCTATAAAAATTAATTTTCCTCCCAGAAACACCAATTCTCATCAAACAAATTCCACATCTCCGTCTATACAACCTATACAACCTTCGAAATCAAACCGCGAAGTATCCACTGTCGCTAAAGAAACCTTCAAAATACCCCCATAACGCAAACACCGACGCAACCACCATATATCTACCTCTATACCCTACAACTTTCGTCCGAAGCATTTATTCCTATCGCTCGTAGTTGCCGAGCCACCGAGTTTCGTCCAGGAAACGGCCGCGCCGCGCGCCGCATCAATCCGCGCGCAGCCGTGAACAACGATCTACCAAATACTTTATCGATCAACCATCTCCTCCTCCAATTGTACACTGATCACCGTCACCGCTCCCCGAACGCACTGCCAGTCACCAGTCGTCCCGACGACAGAAACGCGAACCGCGCCGATCGCCGCGCGATCTCGACGCCCTCGAAGGCCATCCGGCGATCCAGCAACGGCGCGAAGGAACGCCGTGGAAATCCGCGTCGCTGGCACGGTGTCCTGGCCGGATCCTGGATCCAGCGCCGTCGATCCTCTCGGAAGCGCGCGTTCGCTCGCGCCAGCGTTAAATACTCGATCGCGCCGGGTCGAGGCGATTTATAGGCGGACGCTCTCGTCCGTTTGTCCAGGGCGGCCGGCCGATTTTTCAGCGTTCCAACGGACAACCGATCTTCCTCGCGCAACAAGCCCGCCCTCCTAATCTGGCAATTAGACGGGGCGGCCGTAAATTCTCCCCGGAGCGACAAGATGGCCGCCGTTTAAGAACCCGCCGCCGCGGAGCGTCGAAGAGAGATTTCCGACGGTCCCCTGTCGATACAGTTCGATCGAGGGAACGGTCGGTCCTCCGGAGAACTTACCAGGGCTTCATCCGTCATCCCATTATCCCGGCAGTCGATCGCGCGGCCGGTCGCGGTTCATCCCTTCAGCCGGCGTGAAGTTTCAATAATCGGGAAACGAGGCCGGGGGTTCGATCGGTAATTAACACGGATACGGTGTTCACGGGGTAGTCTGTCGTCGGTATTGTTTGGTTGTCATTGTTTATCGAATTCTGTCTTCCGTTTCACGGCGAAGATTTTGGGAGTTGTTTAATTCGTTTATTACCATTTAGTCGTCATTGTGGTTCATTGAATTTGCTCCAGAGTTCGAGAGTCCTATCACTCGAAAGGTAATTACGAAGAGAGCCAAGTATTATAATAGCATCGGTTCAGTTTCGATCGGAAGAGCCGAGACACTCGAACAGAAATAATCGCGAGGCAACTCGTCTAAGTGACCGAATGAATTACCGACCGTTCCCGGCAGCAGCAATTAACCGTACACGAGCGTCCCTCGGTGTCCCGGTGATCGGCCAAGTGTCCGTAGCATCCTAATATCCACTCGGACGCGCCCCAGACGCTCGATAACCGGCGCAGACAGCCCTCGACCAGCCTAATGTACACGCTCGGCCCGTGAACTCGTCTGCGGCCACTCGAGACCCATAGCCGAGGACGCTAAATCCCAATCTGAACACATTCACGATCCCGTCCGGATCCGCGTCTCAGGTAACAATCGCAACAAACATCGTCGTCGCTTCACCCCGGCCGAGCGGAAGTCCTCGAGCCGGCCGGCGAGTTCCCTAAATTTCCTCTAGTGTCCTCCGAAGTCTCCGCCCAGGCCACTCACTCGCGGACCCCTCCGGACCGTTCGCCGCAGTTCGTATCACTCGAGCACAGTACTCCCACTGTTTTCACTGGTCTACAGCAGGCCTACGCCAGCGCGGCGTCCGCCGTTCCGCGGCCCGGCGACGGTGGACGCGGGGAATCCCCCGGTTCTGATTGAACGTCGCGACGAGGGTCTACTCGAAAATGCTCTCCGCGGCCTCCCTGATCTTCACGATGAGGAACGACCGCCTGCAGAGCTTGACGAGCAGCTCGATCCTCTGTCAGGAGGGCTTCCTCAGCTGCGGCAGCGCGATCAGGTAGACGTTGCCCAAGATGGCGCCGACCACCAGCAGCATCACGCTGATGGCGGACAGCAGCCGCACGAACCTGACGAATCTACGGCCCCTCGAGTCCTTCTTGCTCTGGTTCGGGAACACCGCCAGGCCCAGCAGCGGACCTGCCAGCGCACCTGCCACGTGGGCTGCCCAGCCCACACGGCCGCAGCCCAGCAGCGCCGGGATGGGCAGGGACGCCACGTCCGCGCCAGCCAGCAGCAGCACCGCGCCGAGACGCCAGCCGGCGTACCGCAGCTCGCCGTGACACTACGACAGATCGATGGAGGCTGATGTACATGCGTTTCACGAGGATTTCAGTGTTTAAGGAATAATAACAATCAAATGGGCAAGAACGCCAGACGACGTACCGTAGCTCACCGTGACACTAGGACGGATCGATGGAGGCTGATGTACATGCATTTAAGGAGGATTTCAGTATAATTTATATTTCAAAAAGTTTATATATACAGGCTGTTCGCGCTATTACTAGCTGGCGTTTCTCTTGTAAATCGTACACGTCAGAAAGAAATGAAAGGGAAAGTAGTACTGTTAGCAGTAGCTGCTTAACACTTCGACTGCTACGTACTCGTCGAAACTCCCATGCACTCGAAAGAGTTTCCTTCATTAACAGAAACTGAGAGTCGAGATTCTTCCTAATACTTGCTCCGCTGTCTTTCTCGTATCTCGTATGTCCAACGACATTCGGTTTGCTCGACGCGAGAGCAAAGGGTTAAGCTTCTTTCACCAGCGGTTAGTCCGAGTGCTCGACGATCCCAGCGCAGAGAACGGAAGTCCCGGGAGAAGCAAAGAAAACGACGACTTCCGGCGGCCGCGGAATCGGAATTCGACAGCGGCAGCAACGCGAGAGGCAAGAAGCGATCGAGGCCGAAAGTTCGCGTAACTCTCGGCGCGCGAGGGGAAAGCTGATTCCAGCCGCGCTGTCGCCTTCGTTAATCCCCGAAAGACCTTTATACCGTCTCCGAATCCCCGCGGACCAGTTTTCCCAATGTTCCACGGTCGTTTCGCCGTTCGCGTCGCGACGTACGCTGCATTCCTCCGGCATTCCGCGGTTCAACCCTCGGAACCCGGACGTTATCGACGACTTCGCGAGCCGCGTTGTTTACCAATTGTTTTCGGCGTTCAAACGTACCTGCACGGGCTGCTGCGCCACGCTTGCCGTTAAGACTGCCGCAGCTAAGAATGCTAATTAGCTGTAAACCACTGAGAAGTTACGTGACGTCCACCGTTTAGCCCGGCTCGCGCGTGGAAAATATAAATACAAGTGCTAAGTAAAGGGACAACGCGAAAATAATGCGAACCGGAAGCAAACAGCGCAACTCGTTCACTCTGGACAACCTCTAAATTACACGAACAAACATTTCCTAGAAAAGTTGCATAGTTTACATTATATCCTGCATATATTTTACTAAACTCGTTTCAGAACTTAGCCCAATTTCGTTTCTACAGAACGCGTTCCATAGCAAAATATCAATTATCCAACTCTGAGTAAAAATCTACTAACCTTCATTAACGATAAACCTAATCGATAATTTCACGGTTCTATTACACAGTTTGCATTTGAGAAAGCAAACGATACGAAGGACAAACGAAGCAAATCGAATCGAACCAGCCTCCATGGAGGATTGAAACTTATCGGGTCAAATCGAACCCGGCGATCGGCGGCGGGCGACGGGTAATCAGATTGAACCGAGCACTCAGAAACAAAAGTTCGCCCGGAGGCTGTTTCACCCAGTTTTTCCGCGCCCCTTCCGCCACGGGAACTTTCGAGCCGTCCCCTGGCAGCCGATAGTTTGGCCAAGTTTCCTCGGAGCTTACCAAGTAAAGATGCGCGAGATGGCTGGTGAGCAGTGCGTAAACACCTGCCGAGGAACCCACCAGGAACAAACTCGGCTGCAGCAGGGATGCGCCGAGCGCTCCGCAAACACCACCCCCTAGGTAGATCGTGGCAACCCCTATCCGGCCTTGCTCCACCTGTAACAACATTTTTCCCGGGGTTTTAATAATCTCGCGATGGAATCTGCTATCTGGAATTTCTCGAGATATCGCTGTGTTCCGCTAAGGGTTCTTCTCGTGAATTCTTATTCATAAATTATGCGCGATGCTATTGATCGCGTAATGCAGTTTAATTTTGCATTGGCATCCTGCCTTGATAACGTTAAGCATTGACTTTCACTTGCAATTCCAATCTCCTCGATCATAGAGATATTCAATTGTTCAATTTCAATCTTGCAATTTGAAACGCGACGAATATATATGACGCAAAGGAGCAATCGAAGGGTTGAAATTTTTTGGGATTTTTCGCGAATATCTCAGCGAGTCTCTGGCACTAAGTCTATGGCACTATTTTTCCATAGTAAACTGAAATATAGTTCTTATAATATAATACAAAGGAGCAATCGAAGGGTTGAAATTCTCCGTACTGTATTATATCAACGATATTCCAATTTGCAAAGATCTTCCGCGCGAAGAACTCGCTAAAGGCATCCACGAAAAATCGCTATCGAGCGAATTATTTCATCCCCGGCGAGAAGTGGCTCCTCTCTCCCTCAGAATTTCAATTTCCAATTTCTCACGGATTCCTCGCGGGGACGCGACAGGTCCCATTAGAAAAATGGTTAATTCAGCCGCGGGAGGCATTTTCCCCTAACGTATTACCCGGACGCCGTCGTCCGAGGGTTAAGGAGCGCCGTTAACGTCCGCCTCGTCTAATATCCCAAGCGGTTTCCAGCCAATTCAACCCTTTCAGGTTATGAAATCGATCGAGCTGGACGGCCAGGAAAGATTCGCTGTGGCCGGTGCCACGGGAAGGAGGGACGAGCATGTGTGTGTGCGCGCGTTGAGAGAGTATGGTCCGCGACAGTGGCCGCGGCCAATTAGTCTGATTAACTCACCTCGAGCGGGGTGGCCAGCACCAGCTGGATGACCACGTTCAGCGCGAGGTGAAGCGCGTTCGAGTGCAGGAGCATGTAGGATGCGAACCTCCAGCCCTGGATCCTCTGGCGGGGGTCGTAGACCAGCCACCTGCGCAAGGTCGCTTCATCCCCCAGGCAGTGGACGGCTATCTGTCGTCAATGAGAGTGCGTTTCAATTCGGCCGGCGGATCGACCGATAAATGGGCTGGGTGGTGTAACTTTGCCGATGGGTGAAATTCAACATTTATTTCTGTGTATCAACCTCTTAGCCTACAACGAGTGAGACTCGCGCCGAAGACTTTCAACGTGATTCAACAAATATATGTATTAGTTCATTCGAATTCAAGGTAAATATTATTCCTCCGTAAGAAACTATTGTACTTGAATTATAGGCATAACGTATGCTTAGAATTTTTCTCTTTTTCTAGTAAACTATTAATGACAGGGTAACCGTATCGATCAGAGTTGAGGAAGAAGTCATAGGCCAAGGGGTTAATGCGCCTGGGAATGCATGGGTTGGATGGTGGTCACTTTAGTGATGAGTTATCGAAAATTTATTTGTATCTATTAACATTAGATTCGCAGAACCTGCCAATCTGACGGATACTGAATTTTTTAAACATTATTTAGCAGCAGTTTCTAAATAACCAATGGAATAAAATATAAAATAAAATTCGCAGCGAAGATCAAAGGACCCGAAGCTACAACCGGAATCGATGTTTCATCCCCTGCACGAATCGTCCCTAAAAATCCATTTCACAAAAATTCCACCGTCATGAATTCCATCAATGAAGTATCTATACAGAAATGATTAGCCCCGGTAAAACAAACGACACGCTCAATCAGAATTTTAAACATTCCCTCTGCAACGGGTATAGAATTTCGTATTCGATTGATTGAAAAATCCGCGCGTTACACGGGAAATCCACGGGCTATTCGATTGTAGGGGATGGAACGAACGAATAGGCAATCGTTTACAGGTCGCGCGGTCCTCGACAAGCTTCCCCCATTAAAATCCGGCGATCGGGATCGCGTGCGGGATAGCGATCTCTAAAGCCTCGGAAAATAATTAATTTCGTCGAGTCTATCCGGCCGATAGTGCGGCGATTAATCATAACGCCGCGTACTCGGCCGGCGAATGAACCGTCGCGTCGCGGCCGTCATTGTCGGCCTTGAAACAACGGGTCATTAACATGAATGACGGTCGACGGCCGCGGCGAGAAAAGACGCGTCGTTCTAATTCGTTCGTTTCCCGGATCGAGTTGGCGTTGCGGCGAGCAACGGCCTCGCTAATTGGACAATCGCCGGCAAAACGTTCTAAACGATCGTGACAGCGGCGCCGTCAGGCGAAACGTTGCTCGTGCGTCGAGTAAATGGCATGATTAATGTTTTATTAAAGGAAAAGATACCGCGACGAGCATCAGCCGGAATTTATTCGAGTAGTTATTTACTTGTTTCAAGCTCGATGAAGGTTAGAATAAATAAAAATGAACTATTAGAATAAATAAATTAAAGAATGGACAAGTTACTAGAACGAATAAATTAACCCTTAGCAGTTTAGATGGTTCTGCAATTTATCGGCAACTGCAACTTTTTATGGTATCTCTAGTGAAAATGAGAAATGCTATAACATCTCTTCGATCTTTTATTTTCCTTCTCAGTAGAAAATTTCGATGCGTGGAAAATCTAATGATTTCAAGGTAGTTTCTTTGGTTCGTTAAAATATTTGATGTTATAACTGGTGCAATATTGGTGCCTACAGAGTACAAAGGGTTAGAGAATGAAGAAATTACTAGAACAAATAAATTAAAGAATGAACAAGTTACTAGAACAAATAAATGAAAGAACGAACAAGTTACCAGAAGTGTCAAAGAATTGTTTGAATAAATACAGATGTGCGTTAGAACAGGAAAAGGGATTATTCGAATTGAATCGATAAAAGAATTCGACACGAGTGCTGAATAATTACTCGACCAAGCTATTCCATTCGGTTAATTATCTTAGACAAATGTACATTCGAAACAATACCAGGAACGCTCGAGTTCGCACGGTAAAAAGCATCGGTCGCATCGAATTGCGAACTGCATTTCTTCACTGGCAGCAAGGAGTACGTGCCTCGTCGGTGACCGGTGCATTAACCCTTGAACTTTTTCCTGTTACACGACGGAATTATCGGCGCCGATATTCATGGAGTCTGATCGACGCAATTAAACTGGAGGCCGCGGTTGGACGGGGGCAAGTATCGAATTTTCCCGGCGTAATTGATCGATGATAAAATCCAGTTACAGGTATCAAATTTTCGGTCTGGATCGAGTTAAATTGTTCATTGGCCACGGGGCCGAGGGGCGGGGGAGCGGGCGTCGTAATTGAAAGTAGAGACACTGTGGCCCTGTCGGTGCGTGCCGGGCACCTCCGACGGTTTTTCGAATCGTTTCAAAGGAACTTGAAACTAATTAGCAGACATAAAATGTGAAAGATGGAGACATTGAAACGAACGAGACGAAAGAAATCCGAAATATTGTCGAATAAAGAATTTAGAATTAGAAGTTTGTCTAATGATCACGTTAATCGTAATTCCTTCGACAAGATAATTACATTATATATATTATTAAACATCTCAAACTCAAGCTTTGAGAAATGTTCATTTTCCAACGAGATATAGTCGACATCGTTCGAATTCAACGATAATTCACAAATAAATTAAGCAACGAAGCTATTATCTAAATATTTCAAAACACTAAATATTCACTACATAATTTTGCAAAGGGTTAACCCTTCGAACTCTGTAGGCTCCAATATTGCACCACTTATAATAAATATTCTAACGAATCTTAAAGAAACCACCCTAAAATTATTAGATTCTCGACACATCCAAATTGTGTACCAAGAAGGAAAATGATCGAAGGAACGTTGCATTTCTCATTTTCGCTAGGAATGATATAAAAATTAGTTGCAGTCGCCGATAGATTACAAAAGAACCTGGAGTGCTAAGGGTTAAGTTCGCGCCTCGAAATTCTTCCTCCATCGAAACCTACTCCAACCACGATGAATTCTAACGTGACCGTCCGCGATCAAACCGGCGGACCACTGTACGAGGCTTTATTCGACAGTAAGACGAGCAATGGCGCGTGCGTCACGGGGCAGCCAGAAATCCCGCTCGCGCTGGCCGCTCGGCCCCACGGTATCTTCCCGCGCAATCTTTTTCTGATACCGAGTTTTTACGAGGGCCGGGACGTTCGCGCCATTTCTCTGACCCCGGTAAATCATCCGACCGGCTATACAGGGCACTTTTGGGCCGCGGGGGTGGCTCTGCTCTTCCCGCGGCCATCCATTTTTACGTCACCGCTTTTACGACCGCGGCGAGGGACGTTCCAGTCTCGGTTGCAGAGCTTAATGTGCTTTTATGCCCGCCATCTTGGAGAACGCCGGGCGACCCCTCGAAAATTCAGGCCACCAACGGCAATAAAGAATTTTCATATCGCCCTCCCTTTCACCGGCCGTTCTCTCTCTCTCTTTCTCGCGCGTGTTTTAACCTCTTTCCGACTGGACTCGTGGATTAACACGTTCCCGGACCGTTTTTTTGACTTTCCGTTACACGGAAACGTCACGCTTTTACAATGAAATAAAATTGAACGAACGCGGTATTAACCCTTTGCGCTCGAGAGACTCTCAGTCACCACTAGATTCGGTATAGCGAAGCTATAAGTCTTAAAACTAGAACTACCGAGCATTTAATACGATTAATATGCAATTTCTATTAAAATTGTAACAATAGATTGTTTCCAGTTTCTTCGGGCATTCGTTATAGTACTCAAGTGAAACTATTTATTTTCAAGATCGTTTCGAATATTCAATGCTTCGAAGATATCAATAATTGCCAAACTAGAAAATCGAAACCATTCATTTTGACTGGTACGGTAGTTCTAGTGTTGACATTGCAGCAGTTATAATATTAAATATTCTAATGAATCTTAAAGAAACTACCCTGAAATTATTCGATTTTCCACACATCCAAATTTTTTACTGAGAAGGAAAATAAAAGATCGAAGAAATGTCATAGCATTTCTAATTTTCGCTAGGAATACTATAAAAATTAGTTGCAGTTGCTGATAGGTTAGAAAACAACCTGGAATTCAGTTTCGGTCCGAACGGGAAATTCAGCGTGAGTCGCAGGTGACTCTCAGTGAGCAGTCGATGCCTTAGTTGAATGGGTTCCCATAACATATTGCAAAATCACCGAAATCGTAGAGCGAGCACTTCGATTACAAGCCGAACGGTTTTACGAGCGGATCGCGCCAGTTTTGTTCCGACCGCGTTGTTGCGGCTTTTTCGGCGGACGGAGGAGTGCTGGCCTGATTCTTCGCGCCACTGATCTTTGATTTATACGCGCGATCGATCAAGTCCGCGGCTGCAACGCAGTATTCGGATCGCAGCTGCACCACCGACTGCGATCAATCACGTTCGTTTCGGCAACCGTTGCGCCGTCTGGATGATGTTTTGTTTGGGAGATTTAGCTGATGAGTTTCACGATTAACTGTCTATCTGAGAGCTTTCGTTTCGCTCGTGTAATCCTTGCCTGTCTGCCGGTTGCTCGACGTCGCTCGTATGAGACTGATACCGATCGCTCAGAAGCCAATAAGGTTACATCGATTTTTTATTTCTTGATTTTCCGAAATTTTCATGGAATCAATAGTATTAATCAACAGTAGAAGCGGAAACATTAGTTCTCTCAATTTTATTTTCCATCTTAACAACAGATATCGAAAAAATTCAATTCGATATTCGTAATATCTTGCATAAAACAACCAAGCAATATTTCGTAGCTTCCGAATATATATAGTTTCAAAAGCCAAAATATTAATTTTCTCAATTTTATTTTCTGGACAACCGTATTAGCTTCTGAGCGATTCAAATATCGACCCATCGGGAGATTTAAGAAAGTCGCTCTAATTTCTGTAAATCGTAATGGAATAGATAATATTCTTTTTATTGTTCGGAAAGCCCTTTTCCATAGCTCTCGATATATTCTCAATTTTTATTCGCGAAATAACAGTTTTTATCGTAGAAAAAAGGCCGATCGCCGATGAAATTTTTTCATGGGACCGTGCGGCTGGTAAAGTGTTAATAGGAATATTATCTTTAATCCGGTG